CACCACTTCTCTTGGAAGTTGGTTCCAGATCCTAGCTGCATGAAAAGGAGGCACTGTGCTTTACGAAAGTTGCTGTTGAAACAAAATACTCCCTTACTTCCACAAATCAATTGTCTGCTTAAGTTTATTTGGTGCCAGGAAGTGAAAAAAATTATGCAGTTCATGCATGTCAGGCCTTCTTGATTTATGCTTTGGAGCATAGGGGACTGGTAGGGGGTGCATAGGGGTGCACGTGACTCCCCAACAGGGCCAGTGCCTCCCCTGACGGCCGACACTGATGCTGTTGGTGGGGCTGGTGCCCCACCTGACAGGGTCAGTGGCTTCTGCGGGTGCCCTTCCAGATTCAGGAGGCACCAGTCACTCATACTTTGGACACATCTTATGATCAATTTACATTGTATGAATGTTTGAGTAGTTTGCATAACTGGACTCCACTGCATGAATAGTTTTAGACTCTTTATAAAAACACGAGACCTTATTAGTTTCTCAACACACAGAGAGAGTTTGTATTTAAAATCAGATCACATTGCAACATTTGAATTAAATTTGAGCATGATGGTCTGATCCCAAGTATAATGATAGGAAAATGAAATGTAATCAAATTCATTTTAAAAGTGGAATATCAGACAGTTTTTCATTGCTTGCCTTGTATCCAATAGAGGAAGTGAGGCAACTAGAGAATATTTACTAAAGACAGGAACACATTAAGAGGAACACAGGAAAAGTGTTGCAGGTTTGTGGCCACTGAGGCTGCCCTGATGGCCCTGGTGGCTGTGTGTTCCCTGCCTGGCTCAGGCTCTAATTCAGCCCTCCCTTGTTCACTTACCTGACATGCCTTGTTCTTACTAGAGATAGTGTAATGGAGGCTAACTGTGGGCAGTTAGAGAGAACCTGAATCCATGCAAGTCATTACCACGCACCTCCTCTGGAACCTGTTCACCTTAGCTTGGCCCTCAAGGCCCTTCTTGACTCGCTTATTCCCTTGCAGGGCACCTGTAACCTTAAGGGCAGATTGTGTGGCTCTGTTCCTCCCCTGCGCCACACACCAAATGTTGTGGATGTTATTGTACTATTATCCACTCTGTAGGGGTCTTGGCCTTATTGGTCTCTATACTCTCACTGAGCCCTTTAGCCCTGGCCTGTGATACAGGACCTGGCTTCTAGGCTTCAGCCTCCCTGCCTGACTGTCCCTGTCATTTTCAGTTCCTGGTAGTGGACTCCTTTTGACCCCTACTGAGCCCTGACTCCAATTCTGGGCCCATTGGGACCACCTAGCTTTCCCAGCCCTGGCAATATCTGTCTAAAGCCCCTGTTGGGTTACCAGCTCCCTGAGTAGACCTTGAGCCTGATCCAGCATCTGGGTCCTAACCTTATGTGACTTAGAGTGTCCAGGAAGTGTTACATCCCAGAAGACAGGCTGCATGAGGCAGCTCACACCACTAACTTCCTGATGCCACACTTCCTGGATGCTCTGGCTAAGTACAGACAATCAACAGTCTGGAGGTGGAATCAGTTCAGTCTACACAGCTTTCTTCAAGCTGCATACAGGCAGTCCTCAGACTTATGACATAATTGGTTCCTGAAAACCACATTTTAAGTCTAAACGTTGTAACTCTGAACTGATTTTCCCATAGGAAACAATGTTATAATGGGGGATTGGTTCCTGAACCAAGGCCCGATACCCTATTTTCACCAAAAATAACCAGGAATTTTGTACAATTATAGACAGTCATATAGCTACATTAATATATTTATATTGTAAATAGCAGTCATACTGATTTGGAAGGACTTCTTTGAGGTGACTTGGTGGACTTCTTGAAGGGCTCTTGGTTGGACTTTTTGAAAGGCTCTTGGCTGCAGTGTTCTCAGGAGTCTTGGCTGCAGGTTTTTCTGGAGTCTCGTCTGCTTTCTTAAAGAAAGTGTCCAAGGAAGTTTGGACAGGTGTTCTCCAGGTAGATGACATGGCGAATTTGTTTGCTGATGTGGTGTGGTGTCAGATCAAGTGTTGTAAAGTCAAAACTGACATCAGAAAGCTGAAACAGGGTGTCAATTTATAAACGTTGTAAGTACTAAATGTTGTAACTCAAAATGTTGTAAGTCAAGGACTGCCTGTGGTTTGGACTATTAATGGACAGTGTGATAAAGGCATCTTCCAGGTCCAGTATTATTATGGCTCCACCTTTATCTCTGGGCAAACTGCCTGCCTTGCTCATCTGCCATGCCTTGTTGATAAGTGATTAAGATGTCAAATAGATAAGAGGCTGCCCTTCGTGTGCCCAAATGACTGTGGGCAATCAGTATACACTCCTACCATCCCTACATGTGTCCCATGCCTCGCTGATGTCACACTGTGTGATGATACTCTGGCTCAAGGCTGTGTCAAACTGGGCACACAGTTGGATCTTTACCATACTGCCCCCTTTGTGGCCACACACACATACTACCCTCATCTCACCGGGGCCTCTTGCACTTCACCGGCTCTCACTCGGTTTCTTGCATACCACCTATCCAGGCCACACTCACTCCACCCTACACAAAGAGATCCTCAGGCTTTGTTCTTCACCCCTTGGTTAGCCCTGGTGCAGTCTTTTGAACATCTTCTGTGGCTCTCACCCAATGGGACTGAGCAACTGCTCAACTATGGGCCTACTTCACCCCTGGTCCCTCACTGGACCACTATGTCCCTTTCTTGGGCCACAACTTTGCCCCTAACCTAGGGCCTCAGGTTCAGCTGCTACTCTCTGAGCTTAACTGGCCCCACAACTCTGTCCTGCAACTCTCAAGGCCCAGGGTCTTACACCCCTTTGGGCTCAGGTGCTCCTCTTTGAGCATGCCTGGCCCACCTCCAGGGTCCAACATCTCATGGGACTCAGGCACTTCTCAATAAGCTTACCTGTACCCCCCAACTCTCTCTGTAACCCACCCAATGGTGGGGGTAGGGGTTTAGGTGCCCCAACAAGCCTTACACCGGGGAGGTTCTCAGTCCTGGCATTTGGATGGTCCTGCCCCACCACATGCAGGTCCCCACCAGTTCTCCCTATCCCAGCAGGGTGCAGTTTTAGGTCATGCCCAGGACCAATGAGGTCTCTTCCTTCCCCATAGCCTTACCCTTACCTCCAAGATGTTTTTGGACCAGGAACTCCACTGGGCAATGTTACTCCCCTCTGGCTGTTCTCATGGCCACTCTCCAAAATGGCAGCTCTCACTAACCACCTGGCAGCTCCCTAAAGGGTGTTCTGTCACAGACAGACAGCATACATTTTCACTCATCAGTTGGCCAAAGCGAGCAGAGCCTGCGCTGGCCAAGGCCAGAAGGCAGAGGTCACTCATTCACACCTCCCACCTCTGCTAGGCTGCCCTGCCCCCTTTCCAGTCTCCTGCCTGTCAGTCATGGGGTGGCCAATGGGAGGGGCATGGATCCCCACTCTAGCCCCCCAGCCAGGGTCTGCACAGGGTGGGAGGAAAAGCCCCCAAAGCTGGAAGGCAGGGGGATAGTGACAGGGTGGGGCTGGGGTGTTTGTAGTCGAGTGGAGCTGTTCTGTGAAAGAGAAATCACCCACTTTGGGAGCTTTCCCCTCCATCTACTGTGCAGATCCCAGCTGGAATGGCTGGGGCTGAAGCAAGGGCCCATTCCTTCCCCAGCCTGCCCCTTCTGTGACTGAGAGGTGCTTAGGGGGCAGGGCTGGGGTAGGAGAGCCACACTGCAGGGTGATGAAGCCCCTGCCTTGGGGAGCTTCTCTCCACCTCTGCTGCTGTGCAGACCCTAGCCAGGGAGAGCCAGGGATGGGACAGAAATCCATTCCCTCCTTCACCTGCCCCTCATGCTTCTGGTGATGGGGCTGGAAATGTTGCTTCAAGTCTGTGACTACCAGGGCTAGGGCTGCTGGTGTGGTCTGGTGCAGCCGGGGGCAGAGGCTGTCCTGCTTGAATTGCAAGGGGGGAGGTAGTTAGTGGGAGCTGCAGCGCCTCCTGGGATGCCGGGGGATTGAGACATAACTTGAGTTGAGACTGGATTTGGGACAGAAATTTTGATAGACCAGTTTAACCTAAATCAGTTAAGTTTGATACTGCATCCACCCAGGTCTAATTAAACCATTGTCCATCATTTTGAAACCAGTGTGCGTGCACTGAACTTCTCTTCTGTTGCAGGTTTAAATCGGTTTCTGACCACTTATACCAGTTTATGTGTAATATCTGTCCCTAGCCTCTGTGTTCCCAAGAGGACTTACGCTATGTCACACAGTTGGTCGTGACTGGAAAATATTCTTTTTTTCTATATTTTACCTTCCAAAAACAAGGTGCATACGTTATTTATTTGGGGCCATTTTGTATGGAAGAATATATAGGTAATACGATTTCCACAGCAAATAGGATTTCCATGGAAGAGCTAACTCTTGAACCTAAAACACCTGAGTTCCAGTCTGGTAACTTAAGGACAAGCCTGCCCTCCCTCTTGGAGTATTCAGTTCTCTGACTGGGCCCCCCAAAAACACAACATCCAATGCTAAAGCTAAACCCAAGTTGTTGTTGTTGTTGTTGTGTCTGTGTTTCATTTACAGCATTATTTTAATTATAGATGACAGAGCAACTATTGAAAACCACAACATGATGAAACAGACATTTAATAATCTGTGATGTCCTGTAAAAGTGAGAACTACTCATTAAACCTGTTTGAGCAGCATCAAGAAGCAAGCAAAGATTAAGAGGCAGCAGTGAAGGCAGTTCACTATAGTTATGGTTTATCATACATTTTTACAACAGGACCCAAACTCACTGTTCTCTTTAGGCACTACCACAATATAAATATAAAAATCACATTGTTTTTGTTTTAACTCCTATCCCTCTTCTACGGTAGTTATAGTAAACAATTGAGTTCCTTAATGGAACAAGATAGTTGAAGCCGTAGCAGTCTTTACCACAAACACAAGCACATATCATCAAACCATATCAAAGGTGCAAGTAAGTCAGGTGGTGGAGTGGTTTTTTTGGTTATCATTTTGTGACAGTTTGCTATGCCTTTGGAAGAGAAATGTGAAAAAGTCCAGAGATACTAAGATAGTGGTTAGCAAGGAAGCACTAACTATAAATTGAATAATTACTAGGAGTGTGATTTTTGAGAAAGGAATAAAAAGAACATTTTGGGCTGAGCAGTGGCTTAAAGAGTCTTTGATCTATGAGAAAAGATAGTCTTTTGTTGCTCAATTGTGGTCAGGGAAATAAAACTGTATATATTGTTTGCCAATAAAGATGATCACATTAAAGAAACATCTGACTCCTATCTGGAACAACATGCTATACCCTGTCAAAAAGGGTAATAGTAAAACCATGATATACAGTTGTTTAATTTATAAACTAAATGCAGCTCACAGAAGATGGATAAGTATAATTGCTTCAATTTTACCGGGAAAAACTGAGTGAATTACCTAATGCACAAAGAAATAGAGCCAGGAAGAGAGTGCAGGTCTCCTAGCTTCCATAGTTGTACTCTGTTCACTAGTTTATGTGGCTTCTCTGTTGAAGGGCTATGCATTCTGCCTTTTACACTGTTATAGATGGTGATAATACTCACAATATTATAGAATGCCATATACCAGTCCCTCAGTGTATTAGAGTTTAGCAAACTGGAAAACTATGTGAATGGAATATATATGTCTCTCTAGATAGATAGATAGATAGAGTGTAGAAACATGAGAAAACAGGAAACAAAAGTACACATCTTTACTAAATATCAGAAGATATTTGTTTGCAAAGATATATATATATTGTTTCCTGTTTTCTCACGTTTCTACACTTACTGGTTTCATTCAGGCTGTGGCAGTGAGAGTACTGAAATACTGGTAGAGAGACTGCTCTTGCAGTGTTCAGAGACTCTTAGGAAGCAGGGAGTACCTCGAACTACACAAGAGTCTAACTTCTTGAAATGTAGTGGAATCAGTAAGCTTCTGTGGTTCAACCTTCAAAGTTATTCATCTAGGTTATGCCTATTTATACTGAGAATTGTTATATGTGCTGGAGTTATCCATGCTATATTTATCCCTCTTCTCACACACTTCTATGTGCAATATGCTTATACATGTATTGAGTTTATTCAGTAACTTACATTTAGATAAAATTACATTATTTCTTTATTGTGGGACAACAGTAACAAACACAAACTGGAATAAAATACATTTTAATTCTTCCACATTACCAATCTGTCAGTGACTACCAAATGCCTTCAAGCAGATGCCCAGTTTGGAAAGGAGGAGCATTATTCGTTGACATTAAAAAACAAAGAAAAGGTGTGTTAGAGGAAGAACCTGTTATGCAGGAGTGGCTGCAGGAACATTGGGCTAACTATAATGCAGTGCCTGACCTTTTAGTAAAGCTACAGGAAATTAAAGGGTGAAATACAGCTTAAAATGTTCTTTCCAGTAGGCATTTCATTTACGTTTTGAATAAGGAATTATTTTTTCTCGTTCCTTGGACAAAATGAGCTTATCTTGACAACTTTTTAACTTTTCTTGGGAGTTTTATTTCCTTTTTAACCACAAAATTTTTTCATTTCCAGGTAGAACACCAGTATTCCCACAGATTCAATGTGACAATAAAGGAAGCCAGAAATGTCACGAAAGGAGCTTTTGGTGATATGCGTGAGTACTCATTTTTTTGGTTTCACTTCTCTATTTCTCACCTGAGGACTTGCATTTCTTCATGCAGAGTGTAGTACCCTGAGCCTATATTAAAGCATCATTAGCAATTTCTCTCTAAATGTCACTAATTTTAAGGAGTTGTTGTTTTAAATACCATACTTGCTTTTGCATTGTTCATTCACTTTAGTTGATGTGTTAGTTCTACCTCCATTCCCACACATGATCCAAAAGAGGATGAAGGAGTTAGGGACTGCTTACAGTCCCTAGAATTAGTCAGTGACTTAGTCAGAAAGATGGTTCTCAGTTTAATGAAACTGAAAATTGCAGTGTGTTTAGAAGTCTGTGGTCTGTTAGGAAGTACCATGACCAACCTAAGGACCTTATGAGTCAGCACAAAAAAATAAAGCAGCTTGCACATTTTACAACTACACACTTCAGTTTATTCTGTTCCCTTAAAGTAGCTGCAGGCATGGCAAGAAACCACCAGGATGACTGAAAAGGATTGGCCATTTTAAGAAAAATATACAAAAAAGCATGTCAGCTTCTTGTGGTCTTTCGTCTTTAATTATGGCTGTGCTATTATTTGTTCATCTATCCTACTTTCTTGCATGGTTCTTCTGCACTTGGCCCCTTTGTCAGGTATGACAGTGGTGACTCTTCTGTGTCTGGGGATTTGTGTAGTGTGGAGCAGAGTGTAAGCCACTGGCATGAAGGGAAAATGAGGAACCCTAACTATGGGGGGATAAGAACACTCATTGAATCACAGACATGGAAGGGGCACAAAGAGCCCTGGCCATGATAGGGGCACCTGGGAGGGGACACGTGGGAAGAGGATATACACATAGCACTGAGCAGTGTGGAAGACACATGCATGGGAATGGAAGACAGTAAGAATCCCTGGTGTCTGAAATGAGTTCAGCCCACAGAAATGGCAAAAAGTGTGTGAAGTTGTAGTATACTCTCCTATTCTTAGTCGGCATTAAAGAAGGTCCATCAAAAATGACAGTTTGTTAAAACCAAAAATGTTTTATGAAAATAGTTTGGCTTTGACAAAATTTGCTAGACACAGGCAGGGCTTTATTGAATTCAGCCGGGGAAATCTTTGGCCAGGGCTTCCAGGATTCGTGGCCTCAAGGCAAAACTACCAAAGCATTTCAATTGTATATATATTTATGAAATCAAATGTACCACATGGTGTTGGAACTTGAAAACTCTTGCATCATATTAGTTACAGTGCATAGATGTTAGACATCTGAGTATTGTACTGTAGCTCCTGTACTTTGTGCAGATACTTCATGGACTGGTTGGGAATTTTCCGATTAAGTGCCTTTACCCCTCTGTTGCCATCAGGAAAGGTTTATTGTCAAAACTGAAACTCTTTGAAGGAATGAGTCAGCTTCTCTGTCATTGGAGATGGTTTCTATCTTCTAGGTTGGAATTTTTGGTGAAAACCAGAGATCTGTTTCTTAATACGTAATAGCCCAGTGTCTGGACACTTACACTTTGAATGTGGAAGATCAGCATTAAGTCCCAGCTCAGTTTGTTTTTAACCAAGGACTTGAACCTCAGCCTCTACAGATGAGCAGTTTAACTATAGTCTATGAAGTCTTTCTGACAGTAAACAGCAGTGGTCTTGACTATCCAGGATTTTAACCCAGATAAAAACACAAGTGTTACAGCCATTTATACGCATAGCTGTTCCAAGATGCATTGCTTCCCCTCTGCCAGGTCTTTCCATGAAATGACTGGCAATTAACTTGAATGAACGGCAGTTAATTTACGGATGTGCACATCATTCTCCTGGGAAAAAATCTTAACACGTTAGTGGGCCAGAGAAAGACATTGTGAGTTCTGAGATGCTTTTATTTCCTCTTGGCAAGTAGCTAAAGGGTGGTACATAAATACTTACAATACAATCCTTGGAAGGCAGAACCAAATTACTGCTGCTTGTCTGCTCTTTCTATTCCCAAGTACAGTGTAACGATGACTAAAACGTTTTATTCCCCAAGTTCAATAACGTGTGCTTAAATTTAAGCTGATGCTTAAATTTCCTTTTATTCATTTTAGAGTGCTCCCCATGCTTTTGAAGTGATTTGACTGACGGAAGCCAGGGACTAGTGTAAAAAGTCTGATTTGATTTCAGTTCACACCTGTGTAGAAATACAGTAAAATATGAGGAGAGGTAAAGTACACTATGTCTGTTTGTAGTCTGTGTCTTGTGCTCTGGGGTGCACTTACTAGCAGAGAAGTGCCTGCCCTTTTTTGTTTTCAGATGCTAAACCACATTAAGAGAAACCAAAAAAATTGTATTTCAAATAGTTACTTCATGATTTTTCTATATAAACAATTTTTGTCATTGCTACAAGGAAGTTACTTGATTTACTAAAGGAGTAGAGCCAGTGCCAAAGAACAAGTAATTTTGAAAATGTAGTGTGTTCAGGAAGAGTGGCATCTCTAATGGCTGTCTGGGGGTTGATCTAGACTGTACTACTTGCTGAGGCAGAATTGGAACAAATACCAGGTTATCAGGCTCTTCTAGAACAATGTTAATGCATGTACCTCATCTCTGTTCATAGTCCTTTATTTGTTCATAGTTTTTATGTAAATTTCTTGAACAGAACAATGAGTTCTCTTTACCATGTTTCATATTTAAAGATATCGTATGGTATTAGGACCGGCAGATACAGTGTGTTGGATGGCCAAGTGAGAGGTAATACAAAAATACCTTGAACAGAGCCTGTAAGGTATAACGTCAACCTCTCACTGCCCCTGAGCATCAAAGGCAATTCTGAGTGTGCCTGTAAAAGGTTCATTTTGAGCTCTGTATGAAAGCCACAAGGGCAGATAAATTTCAGGAACAGAAAAAGATTGCTGTGTTCTTAAGTTGCCAACAATACATTAAATGGTTGTAGAGCCTTCCATGAAGGGAGAGAGAGAGAGAGAGGAAAAGGGAAATAGTGCAAATGTTTGAGGATCCTTGTGCCTTTTGAATACATGTAACTTATTAGAGGTATATGTTCAGGATGAAAATACAAAAGAAATGAGAAGCAGTAGAGGAGTCTGTCATGGACCTGAAAATAAAAGCTCAGTCTTGTGCAAATGAAAGACAAAGGGTATGTCTACACAGGTACTTATGTGTATCTAAACTTAATGTGTTTTTGCTTATGGCACATTAAGGCAATTTAGGCGTATGTCTACATGTGGATGTGCTAAAGCACATTAAGACGCAGTAAATGTTGTTGCGAATAGCTAAGTTGCATTAGCATACTAATGTGCATTAGTGCGTCTACACGTGCTAATAAGACTTAGCTCTTTGCACCTAAATTTAATACCTACTTTATGCAGGTATCAAATTTAGGCTCAGCTAGCCTTAAATTGCTATTTTTAAGGTACATTAAGGCTGTGCATATGTAGACATGCACTCTTAATGTGCCTTAAAAATAGCGATTTTAGGCTAAGCCCACTTGAAAGAGGCACATGTTGATGTGCCCAAAGAGACTCTTAGACCAGATGTCAATAAAAGTCTGTGAGAGATTAGTAAGAGGGAAAGGTATGGCACTAGAAAGATTGTATATATATATGCCCATCTGCAGAGAAAACTGAAATACAAAATATGTTTGAGTGCAGTTAAGAAAGCAGCAGTAGAAAAATTGACAGAAATTAAGTTGGGAAGCACAGGGACATGGCATGTTCAAAACAATGCCAGTGATGTAGTAATTGGAACGAGTATAGATATGGTCTTAGTTTGGGGCAGAAATGATAGAAATTGCAGCAATTGTATCAATAAATTCAACCATTATGGTAAAATGTGTAGAGGAAGCAGGAAAGTGCATGCAGTAAGAGCAGAAAGAGAAACTTTAAGTGAGCAGGAGGAGTTGTCTTAAATACAGGGAAGACCACAGAAACTTGAAAGACTGGCTACTTAAAATACAAGGTATTTATGTAACCTACAAGATAAATATTGACACAGAAATGAATGTAATAATAGAAATTGAATAGAGTGGTGTAACGAACACAAAAAAATTGAGAGAACCAAAAGTGTCTGTGAAAGACTATAATAGAAGGATAATCCCAGGATCAGGAGACCGTGTTCTGACACTTAAATACCAAAGGAAAATAACAGAACAAAAGTTTGTGGTAATATGAGTTTTCTTACTTTTATATACCAAGTCCTAGGGATTAGGGTTACAAGCCAATGGGCCAGAAGGGAGGGACAAATGCAGGTAAGTAGACATTCATAGTATAACAACAAACACTAAAAAGGGTAAGTAACAGGGAGTAGTCAGTACCACTAGAATACACAGATTCAGCAAATAAAGTTCCCTCCCCCACCTCCAGAAGTGCACCCAAGAACGAGCCTTCAGCCCAGACCGACTCTGTACAGGTCTCCACGTTGGGTGTTACGCTCACTCAGTCTGTAGCTCAGCTGTGCTATGGAGTTGCTTCCCATTAATTCCTTGCTCTCTGGCATGTAGCCAGACTGCAGCTATGTGGTAACTTGCTTTTCCTGCTTTCCTGAGGTCTGTGGGATTTGGAGTCCAGAAATATAGCCAGCAGGACCATGCAGGGTTATTCATCACTTTTCGTCACTTCCTCTTCCTACTTCTACATGCCTCTGGGATTTTAGTCCGGAATCACAGCCAGCAAGATTCCTCAAAGTTGCTCCCTTTCTGTTACACATTCATGTTACGTTTCCAATTCACACAATGGATTATATTACAGAATACATACATTACATTACTCTCCACCACTTTTAGCTGGATGCACCCCGACATCTTACTCAGGTTATACCATGTAGTCACTAAGTCACCTGCCAGGTCTCCCTCTATGGTTTACCTGACAGTTTAGTTCTAGTGGGTGTTGGGTACCCTTGGTTGCATCCAGTTCTGGCTTTCCCCTTTTCACCCACTCTTCTTTGCTATTATCATTCCTGTCAGGCCATGGGTCCAACCTGACATTTCCTGGTCTAGAAGCATCCTCTGGCAGTGTAGTATTGGGCT